TAATCCTCCTCCTGGCAAGCATCTACATATATACACTCGACCTTGCCAAAGTTTTTTTTTTTCCTCCTGAGGGCCTGCTTGAATGTGCATGTGCATGTAGAAAACACTATCTCTTTGCTGACACTGACGGCACAACAGACTTGTTGCAGTCGCAGCTCGAGCAAGGTTGGCAGCCCTGCAGAAACACTTCCCATTTGTGGTGTGGGGCTTGGTCCAAGCCACTTGAACTTGGCAAGGCTTACCTGGAACAGCCTACCCGTAGGACTGCCACAGACTCTCCCCCTTCAGCCAACACAGCCAGCCTCACTGTAAACTATAACAGCTGATTTCAGCCACACCTCCAGAAAACTGGCTGCAACTGATTTGCAGGTGTTTATCAAGGAAGAAGGAAGCATAGCTTTTTTTTTCTGTTTTGCTTTTGTTATCAAATCAAACTGAGCAGGTCCCAAGTAACTCCCTGCTGAGCAGGTTAAGCTGCTGCTTTCCAGCAGGTATTTTGTTATTGAATAATACATCACTGTTAGCAGTTCCTCTTGTTTGTCACCATTAATTGTTGTATAATATATATTAAATGTTAAAAAACTTGCTTTGACTGGTTGAAAAAAGTTGACTGAATGTTTCAGGGCAGTATAGAAGCTACAGAACTTTTCACAAGGGACACAATTGTGAGTGCAAGGTGACTTTTTTTTCTTATCATTTCAGGGAGAATTACACAGATCATATGACACCATATGGAATTCTTTTTACACATAATATATTTCCTTTGCAGCCGCCGTGAAAGGCAAGGCCTACAGGGAGTCCTCTTTAGGAGGAGGAGAGGAAAAAAAAGCTGTATGTATGGTGAGGAGGGAGAGGCGGGTGGGGGTGTGGGCGGTCGAGGGGTTTAGTGGGGCGGTCCAAGCACGCTCAGCGAAAATATGCCTCATGCACTCGTTGAACTTGGGGCCTGCGCAGGCTTCTCTCAAGGTTACAGGAGAGGCCTGTACTGAGCGGAGCAGGAGAAAGAAATCATGCAGTAGCAGTCCACATGCAACAAGCTTTTCACTGGACTCTGCCCTCTTGTTGCTATTGCTGCTTTCATTTTGGAGAAATGCCGTATTTTAAGTTTCCGATTAACGCAAAAAACTTGTTATATCTAAAAACGCGTCGCCAAACGTATCATACATCCATTCAACAGTATCTCAGCCGGGCATTCAATCTGCGGCAGAGTCAAACCGCTAGTGTCTGTTGCTCGGATAACAGAAGCGGCATGCGATCGCCTTTGACACCAGGTTTCCTTCCCTCCTCGGAGCCTGCCGGGATTCGGGCCATGTATCCGCTGCCGCACCCCTGAGCCCTCGACCACACAAAGGTAGGAAGCGGCCGTTGGAGCGGGGCGCATTGTGACGAGGTCACTAAATCACCGCTCGTTTTATCCACCGCTATTTACGAACATTTCACCAGAGGAAATCATAAAGACAACAAGCCTGAGTAAATACATCTGAGGATGATTGCTGGAAAGAAGGGAGACTACAAAAGCTGCCTTACATGGACAGTTCGGCCACGAAACATTTTCAAGGAATACATTCACAAGGCTTGCACACTTTAATCCAAGTTTGATAGAAGTGGAACAAATACAACTTTCTTGGTAAATATTAACTTTTACTGTGTGAAAGGCACTGACTCATTAACACTCATCCTCAACTAAGGTTATAGTCTGACGTGATATCACATAATAATGTTACATAACATATTGGAAGAGAAAAAGATCACAAAGGTCCTACAAGTCAAACATTAATATAGACGTAACAACTCTTTCCTTTGCAGAGATTTAGAGGAGTAATGGCATGCTTAGGAGAGAATGTAGTCACTTTCTTTGTGTTGTCATCTGAGCCTCTCCATTCAGTGTTTTGGTAGCAGGTTTGGCCACGCACTCATGTCAGTGCCTCATTTTTTTTTCTTTTTCAAAGTTGCCAATCCCAATGTTTATAAAAAGACAAGAGTGAAAGTGAAAGAAAAATGACCCGAAAACCTGATCCCCCAGAAAGCAAAAGAAAAACAAACATATTACGTTATATTTATCAAACAATTCATTTATTAGCATTTAATATTTCATTTACCTAGCCTATGTCTCTGCTGTTCTCCTCTGCTCTCTGCTGTTCTGCTCAGCTCCAAAACAAACACAGTGCAACAGAGAGCACAGGAGACCAGCAGACTGTTTTGATTCTGAGATCAGCATTAGTTAGCTTATGTAGCATATCGTTGCCATTGCTTGTGTATTTTACAGCCTTATTCTGGGCTTATGATTTAGCTTTTTGGATCTTGTGCCCACAACCTTTCCGGTTATAAAGGGAGGAGATCTGTTTATTTTCTTTAAGAAGCTGGTGATGTCACTCAAAATCCAATCTTTTATCTGCATGGCATGGCTCCAATTTAACATGCTTGTCCAGCCTAAAAAAAGAAACTTTTCTGACACTTTCACAGAAAAGTTTAAGGTCAGTCATTCAGATTATTTGAGATGTTATAATAACGTGCCAGTTTTCCTTTTGATACAGATATGTGATGACAAACATTTGGAGATTTGACTCAACATGTCAATAAAGACAAACACGGTGCTTAAGCTGGAACAACAACAACTTGTATTTGAGTTCACCATGACTGACAGAGGTCAAAGGGCAACAGGTAGTAAACACTGGTATTAATGAATCGGTCACTTTGCCTTTCCTCAAGAATTAGCAGTCCATTAGCACCTTGTAAAAGGGCCACTTCTATGCTTTACAACAGCTTAGGCCTGCTTTCACACAAATAGCGAAGCAAAAATATTCAATGCAGTGACAGAGTTAGAGAAACAGGGTTCCTGGTATATAACGGCAGAAAGACACAGAGGAATTAAGTCTACATAGCCTGCTTCAATGCACATTTATTACTTTGATATAAGCTTATTAAACAGACCAAAAACATTTCTTCAGAGTCAATCTGAGCTAATTTTCCCCACAAAAACAAAAAAAAAAACCAAATTAGCATAAGATGAAGTGGGTCATTCTAATGTCTTGATTAAAGTAGGCCTCAGCTTTGCCCAAGTGGCCAAGCAGCAGACTGCAAGTTCAGCTTTGTGCACTGAAGGCCTTATCAGGGCCTCTTTCGTAAACAAGAGGAGGAGGGGAAAAAATAGCCCCATCCAACATAATAAAAGGGAGCATCAAAGCAGCTATAGAAGAGAATCAGTCAGAGTATTAGACGCCACTAGGGGTTGTCAACGTGATGGCTTAGATGTCACTGGAGAACATCTCCATGGATGTAAAGCGGGCAAACAAATTAAGAGGGATGAGCTCGCACTTGGTGGATTAGTATTAGATTTATGAGGACAACTTAGAGTCAGTGCAAAGCGAAGAGTACACAAGTCTGTCAAAGCTGTGAAGAGAAAATTCACCTTTACACATTTAAGTTCAAGCGACGACCGTTTAAGACTCACTGTAGAGTTATTTGACTATGGAGGTGTTCGCGTAAAGAAGATCTGAGGTACATAACAAACCGGCCATAGAGCACTATCATTAAAGAAGATTGCAATATCATTTCTCTTAGTTAGCACAGGCAACTGTGGCATAGCATCTTCTCTAAAGTCTACCCTTGGTGTCTGACTGTGAGAGGGTGGTGAGGCGAGCCCTACACGCAGGAGTCCAACTGTAAAGGATATGAGGCACGTTTATGTCAACTATGAATGAATGTTTAAATGGAATCTTTGAATGCAAAGCTTCTTGAATTCAAGAAGATGGAAAGATCCTTTAATGAGCTGATGATTCCAGCAGCGGTTTCATCGCTGACTATACGGACTAATACGGCGCCGGGTCCTGAGAGCCCTGAGACACTCAGAATTCCATATGCGAGACGATGCGAGGGTATTTTTAGGCCAGCACAATTTCCCTGTGACACATTTACTGCGAAGGACCTCAAGAGTGATAACGTGTACAAACTGCAGTCTGCTGAGGAGAGCGACAGCAATACTTGGAGCCACAGGAGAGACAGGCCAATTAATGGCAAGACGTCCTCTGAGTGCAGCCCTCTGTATAATCCCACAACCTACTTTATGGCGAACACTCCCCTCTTGCGCTGATGTGTGCATCATTAATCACATTTCATATCAAATGCATATCCCTAGCCACAAATATTCACTCCCAAATCTCTAAACGATGCATGTCAAACACTGTTCTTTACCAGAACGAGCGGCTCAAACTTTCCACATCTGATTATAAAGCAAAAGGAGCTGGCTAAACGTTTAAAATGTTTAATGCAATACCTTTTAAGTTGAAACACCTTCATACTTGTATTTCTGAGCGATGCCACGTGAAAAGACTGAAAATGCACTTATGAAAGCAGCTTTCCAGGGAGAAGAAGAAAAAGAAGGAGAAAAAAAAAGTATGATGGTTTTAACTTCAATTTAACCAATGCCACTTAAAGCCAAGCTCTCAAAAGTCTAGCTCAGCACGCAGAACTGGCACTTGAGACATGAAAGGGCAGCTGCGACTTTTGGTTTACATTATATCTTAGTGGTTTCCACATTGTGGCCAGGGGATAAGCATCAGGAGAGGTTTATCTCTGTCACAGTGCTCTATGGAATATGTAAACACTACGTGTAATCAGTGCTGCAGTGAAATGGAGTGCAGGGGCTGTGTGGGAAAGTGAAGCACTTTAGGAATAAGTCGACATCTTTACTCGCTGAGCTCAAGCAAAGATAAGGCGCTGGAAGCAAAGCTGCAGAACCTCTAATGCTACTGTTGCAAAACACTCATTGCTGAAAACTGCTGCAAATGCTGAACACGTGCATTTTTCGATGAACAAAATCAGCAAGCCTTATGCAAGTAGCACTGTTAACTTAGTGTTAACTTTCACTTTGCTTAAGACCTGCGCTCTCATCTATCTTCATCTCATCCATCTCTTGGCTTTACTCTGTCAGCGTGTCTTTGTCCTCGTCATCCACCCAGCGAGGCGGCGGCGCTCCTCCTTTTTTTTTTTTTTTTTTTTTTCCTTGTGGAGCACGGGTACTTGTCCTAGACGAAGAGCCTCTCTCCCTTCTAGAGCCCAAGTTTTAATATGGTGTCCAATCAAAAGTGATTAAGCATCGCAGAGCACAAACAATGCTGGCCCTTAAATCTCTGTGAACCCTCATTCACTCGAGCGAATGAAAGAACACTCTGTCTGCGGCGGCAGATGACAGACGCGCGCTTGAAGATAAGTCTTCTGCGTGAGCCCTTATCCTGCGAACACCCGCCGTTTGAGCAAATAAAGAAATAAATAAATGCATTACAAAACGCCACACACAACAGAACTGGGTGCCACCTCTAAAAAGGCATCAGTGGGGGAGGAGAAGGCTGTTATTTTGTCCGTCAGTGTTACGTCCCCAACATGGTGCCTCGAGATGATACCTAAAACCAAATGGCACCGGACGAGGCCCAGTTGAGTAAGTGAACCATAACTCAGCTGATGGGAATTAAGTCAAGAATGGAGGACAAACATGCATGCAGATGCAAAGACAGCGCAGTGAATAAAAAGCCTGTTAATGTTCAAGCACAAACCCAACTGCGAGCAATAAATCACTAATAAAATCAACCAGCTGCCTCAAGCGCAGCGTCTTTCACATGAGAAATTTCAAAAAAGCAAATTTCCCACAAATCATCCTGTCTTGTACATAAATTACCAACAATTACAATGCATAATGTATGCGGTAGTAAAACAATACCCTGAACTAATGCATTAGATACGTGCGGTACACAGCAGCATGAACATTTAAGAAAAAGGGGGGACCGCTAACTAATGCTGAAAAGATATTGTTCTTTCTTTTTTTTTTTAAATGCCAAGCGCAAGAGCAGAATTACTTGGCAGCTGTTGTGCGATTTTTCATCATTAATATAAGAGCTGCTTGCAGAGTTGCTTAAATACTCTTTTTCAGCGCATGTAATGCAATCTTGTACTCGGTAAGCTTCCATTTCTAGCTGGAATGACTGCGGGAAAATACTGGAACCAGTCCTGCTAAACATGGCAACCCCACTTGCGCGTATATTCTGTTATATTTATTTTTTTCCCTATAAAAGTCTGCTATTGAACTGTTACAGCATCCAAAAGGCACTGTTAGCAGATCTCTATTAGCCCGTTTCAGGGATTCAATAACCATACACACATGTAGACGCATTAGCAAATTTGAAACAGAGAGAAGCAGACAAGCGTCATCACTGAGAAGTCATGAGAGGGAGGAGCTGGCACTATGACAACAAGACATTAGCCGTCTGCAGCCTGCTGCCGTCAACAAGTCAGCATGAGCACTACCATCTGACTGGGCTTTCCCAACACTGCCCCCATACACTCAGCCAAAACTAGCTCTTGCTGCTGCTGTTGCTGCTGCTGTTACTGGCTCCTGCTTTCAATTTCAAGAGTGGGCCAAGTAATGGCTTCAGCGTTTTGTGGTCTGCCGACACATATGGTCCGTGTAGCAGAACCAGTTCTGCCCCCCACCTCCTCCCCTGTAGATCGTTTTGGGATGTGCACGGAGATGTGGGCAGAAGGAGACTGACACAGCCCCAGGGGCTGGCCGCAGTTATGGGGGGAGACGTGTATGGGTCTTGTTATGACTGCCAAGAGAATTGGTCTCAGCGGGGCCACCGCTGCAATCAGTCCAATGCCACAACGTGCAGAACTAACCAAACAGTATTTGTTTAAGGTTTGGCCCTTTCTGAAAATAATGTGTAGGAGGTTCTTAAAAATGCCACCAGCTGCATCGTTCCCAAAGACACTTTATGCACGACCATATGAGGAATCGACCCCAACTTTGACCAAATGGAGAACTCATTAATAATTAGGTCAGCTTCCCATTTAGCCTAATGGCACATGAGAAATTGTATTTACATTAAAAACAAAACTTTTATGAGCCATCATAGGAAGGGCCACATTAACCTTTTCTTTATTGCTCCCATCAGCGCTAACGTCACCGCTGGCAGTTAGGCTATCGCTGCCGTGGACGCTATCTGGCTGCATGACCTAGATTAAAGGTTATTTGCCCAAGTCACAGAGGCTGCTCCTTTGGCTCGCCCTTGTTGGGTTTCCTTATCGGAGTTTGTCTGGACAAATCTTGGACACAAAGCACCCATTTTGTGCTCCTCTCTGGAGATCCTGTTACAGCGTTCCAGACACGACGCGGTCCGCCACCAGTGCCTCTGGGAGCACGGCGTTTGGTTGGGGCGGTGCGATTAGCTGCTTCCTCAACTTCAAGCATATGATACATGTGAACTCCTCTTACGTCCCTGAGCATGCTTTTGTGCAGCGACAGGGTAAAATGATCGGGGGGGGGTCAGATGATGTCATGCTGTGAGAATTCGGATAAAGTGACCCTCCCATCCTCATTACAAGACGATCCAAGGGTCCTCCAAGTAAATTCTGCCTTTAGCTACTTAAATACTTTTCCTTTGTAACTACTAAAATTCCCATTTGTTGCACAATAATGTCCTGTCATTAGATGTACTATGGAAATAATTGAGCATCTCCACCCAGCAGTATGCATTTACAGTCTGTGTGTGGATAGAGCTGCCTTGAGGATGATCCAGTGGCCTTATTCCTCCTGTGCTCTACAAGGACAAAGAACAACTAAGAGAGCAGGGTCGAGCGAAGCAGGGAGAACGAGGAAAACGAGAGAGAAAAAGAGTAGTGTTCGCTGACCTCATTCTGACAAGCCCGGGAAGAGTCTTTCCTTGGAACCGTTTCGCAATAGCACTGTTGTTTATACAGGTGGTGGGTGAGTCGAGCGAGATATGCAGAGAGCATGCATTTTGCAACACCTCATTATGAATACTAAACACAAGCAGCATGTCAATTCACACAGCGCACACACAAACAAGCACTTCACCCACACTCCAAAGAGTGGTTCACGTTTCATTTAAGTTGTGACATTTGCAGGGAATGCGTCACTTTGTGGGCAGTGGCCAAATCATTCCACTCTGTTTAAATTTCAAAGTCAAGTTCCTTCACACAACCCAAGAGCTGTCAAATGCTACTGTCCCCTCGTATTGGCTGCCGACTGCAAGCCTCTTGGAACGGATGCCTCCGGTTGCCTTGTGTGTTTGGCTTTTGGGCCGTCTTCGGCAACAACATCCACTTGGCCAGAGTTCAGCCCTGTGGAAGGCTACAACAGCCCAAAGGTGGCTGCCAGGACCATTGTTTATGCAACAGTATACTACTGCTAGGTTAAAGGGAAAAAGAGCAAAACAGTGGAGGGAAATGAAGGGCTCCTACCTGCAGAAATAAGCTTCTGTCTTTGTACACATGGTGAGACATTTTAAGAATATTATTATAACTCTTTCTTTTCTTTTCTGGAGCCAATATCTTAAGCAAGTTAATTCACAAATTGTACATATGTGAGAATAACCCTGTAAATTTATAAATACTATGCTTTAGATAACCAACTGTCTTTTCTAAAAGAGGAACACTCTCGAAATGACACAAAATGGAAAACCAGGACCTTAACTAAAAGCCATTTAAATTTAATGAAATCTTACCCAAACTAAATAGATTTTTGTGCTTTTATTTCTGTAACAGTTGAAGCCTGAAAACAAACCCATGCGTAAGTTAATGTAGCGCCTATCTTATTTTCCCCACTAATCAATGAGGTGAACCAAATCCATTATATCTTAGAAAGATGTGGAAAGAAAAAAAAGGAGAAAGGATCCACACAACAGCTGTTTGGTAAACATACCAAAGTAATTGTTCCAAATGCCTTATTTTAACACAGATTAAATACAATTAGAGGCTGTTTATCTAATCACAACAAGTCACTCTGCCAAAAGAAAAACCGCTGTCATTGTTCCTAGCAGTTCTGCTCCGAGGAATTAAGCTGGAAATAGGATAACTTTTTTTTTTTTTTTTTTAAACATAGCTTCTCTATGTACAGGAAGGAACGTTTACACACTTGCTGCGGTGAAAGAATATGGCTGGATCGTTGGCTGGCTAAGGCATGGGTCTTCTGAGGTGAATACGAGGAATTCAGGTCAGTGCAGCCGAGACGTTTAACCAGATCAAGCCGCTGCAGCCTGGGTGGAAATAGCACGGGAGGCCACGGAGGGGGAAACCAGTGCGTCACAGCTCCCGGCCTGAATCCAGGCTCACCCCCCACCCCACCTCCCCAATGCAAACAAGAGCCATAACTTCCCTAATGATCTGAGATCATGTACGCCTCACACACACTTCGCCAATAGGAAGCGCTTCCTCTCCACCTTTGACCTCACAGTGGGTGTGTCTGCCTTCGACTTGACATGTGCATCAGGAATGGTGCTAGAGTGATTTGATGAATAGTTAGTGGCAAGTTCATCTATGAGGTTTGAAAAAAGAAAAGCTTTAATCCGAGAAAATCTTTCTGCAACACCAGGAAAATCTTGAAAAATCGGATTTTAAGCCCTAACAAATCTCTTAATATCTTAAATGTTTGCTACATTTTGATAATCTGACACTGACTTGTTTTCATTTACAGTCTCTCCTCCCCCCCCACCCGTCACACACAATTGCTCTGTGATTCAGAAGTCCAACACCGCACTCACTCACACACACACACATTGTAAACAGTCTTTATTGAGACGTGAGTGCTTGTATAAACATAGACAAGCTCTATTGAGGGTCCGGGGCTGGGTTGAACAATAAGAGGGGGAAAGTTGCTGGACGTTCCTCACAGACGGTGTGTACAAAATCCAATTATCAGAGCCGTGGCATTAACATTCCAGCAGTCTGGCAGGTGACGGCTCCGTCTTTTCAGCTCCCCCCACCACCATCACACACACACACACACACACACACACACACACACACACACACACACACACACACACACACACACACACACACACACCGCCAGCATGGGATAGTCTCCCTAGGCAGCACCTCGACAATACACTTACACACATGCAGCCTTCTTCAGCTCCCCCTTTCTAAGAACCCCCAAGTATTGAGACATATATAGCAGGAAGAAGGCAAAGAGAGGGGAGGCAGTTGGGAGGAGTGTGGGGTCCACCAGCGACACTGATCTTTTCTTCAGGAGATCAGCGCAACCAGCCTAGCAGGCAGTATCAGTCAATGGGGCATTCTTCTCCTCTCTGTGTTTGGGTGAGAATATGTTGATCGTCGATAACGGCGCTTTGATCGCCATAATGGGGAAACCGCGTTTTGTTTTGAGCATTTGCCTAAAAACAGTGAATGCTTTGTCAGCCTTCGGGCGATGTTTGCGGCATACAAGACGCCGAACTCGACAAAGGTTGAAGGTAAAACAAAACTATTGCTGTTCTTGGCTACAGGGCGGCGTCTGAAGGATTAAAATAAAAGCCGGCACTTTAGGGCTTCTCAGCGAGGGAAGCAAAACACACACAAAAAATACAACTAAAGAACTAAAACTGAGACTTTAAAGTGCTTCTTCTTTGATTACACACACTAACTCCTGTAATTAGCCTCTGCACCTTCTTCCAGCATTAATCCGTCCGGTTTGACAAAGCTCTATCCACCGTGCATCGTTACCAGGTTTTCTTTTTTTTTTTGCTAAACATACTGTGCATACAGACCTTATCACTATAGGATATGGTGTACGTGATAGTGTGCATGTGATATGTAAAGCCTCTGCCTGGTGTCATGCTCTGTATCCTTGTCAGGTCCTATATATAAACATACATCTGGCCCCCATTCTGCTCTTTCCATCATGTCATCCTGCCTACATGGGAGCAGGCTGTGGGAGATACATACAGTTCAGTACAGGACAGGACAGTAGGGCTGGAAGAAATTATTGTTTTCATTTTTTTTGACAGATTCTTTTTTATTATATGTCAAAACGCCTGGTCTTAAGCTTCTCAGATCCAAAAGCAAATCTTTCTTTTATGGTTTTTGCCTGACTAGTAGATTAAGATTCAAGAAAATTCAACTTAAAGATGCATATACTAAGAAAAAAATACTCAGGCTGAAAGCTGGGAATAAGAAACGTTTGACATTTTTGGCTTCGTAAATGATGATTAATGAATCTAAATTAAGCTGAACTAACTTTTTCTTGATCAACTGATACAGTACATGTGCTGAAGCCAAACACCCTGCTGCTAAAAAGTTAGAAGTCTGTTCACTGAAATCATTTTATGCATTTATTCTGCATCAATAGCTAACTAGGATTTTATGGGCATTTTGACTTGATGTTGTATTCCTTCCTTTAAAACAGTTACCGTTTTTTTTTTAAAAAAAACGCCACCTTTAGCTTCTCTTTTCACAGCTTAAAGTAACTGAGAAGTCTACTTTGTCCCCCTATAAACCTCCTTTTGTTGCTCCTATTCTCCCCCCCCTCTTTGTGTGTCGCTGTCCTCCTTTGCGGTGAGATGTTAGTCAAGTGTCTTGTGGCTTTCTCCACCCTCACCAGAAGGCCTGCCCGCGGTTAATTATTCTTGGATGGCGGATGAAAAAAAAAGTGAGTTCTCTCTTTTTTTTTTTGTTCTTTTTTTCATTAGCTCAGCAGCAGTTTCCCATTCATAATAGTTGGCACTGGTTTCGCTCTGCCTGCCAGAGATCACACCCCAACCATTTTCATTTTCCTTCATCCATTTGTTTCATTCATGTCATAGATTTGGCAGGGGCCTGCATCGTTTTCCTGATGGCCGCCGACCCTTCAACACCCTCCTTTTGAGTCTCAAACTCCCGTTTGTGGCTTTGTTTTGGATAAGAGCGGAGAAAATGTGGAGAAAAAAATTTCATGCTGGTTCGTATCCAAGGGTTGTTGTCTTACTGTATTTCAGGACTGGAATTATTAATTGTAATGTAAAACTGAAAAAGGGATACTTTAGCAAAGCCATACGAAGCTTTGCTGACATGCCCTTGGATGAAAAGAAAGTCATAATAAAACTTTTCCTGGGAAACTGAATGAATATGGTTTATGTATGTGATTGTTGGTATAATTCCAAAGTTAAAAAGAACCATTAAGGACTGTGGGCTACCATTCCCTTGCCTTCACACAGTTTATCCCATAAATTTGCGCAAGCAGTGAGCACACCGAGTAATACGCTCTCCACCAGAACTTTAAGTCTATTACACAGTGCGTTCAACAATCTGAGGCCCGGAGAAACAGTATTTCATCATGCAACTACTGGAAATATGCCCACTGACAGGGAATCTGGATTGCACATACACACACATATTTTTTAAAAAACAACAACAAAAAAACTCTTCCCACCCACCTGTTCTTGAGACATTTTGCTAAATCTATCAACTTCATCTGCTTGCATGTATTTTATTCCATACCACACAGGCCCACAAGCAGAAAGCACACGCGTTTGCATGTGCACGAGTCCAAACATTCAAATGTAACGTACACGTCTTCTCTCTGGGGCTGCAACCCGATCCCAAAGCACTCCAATGTGACATTAAAAACCCAGACTCTTTACCGTTAGGAACCTGGATTCCCAACATGGAAACAAACAAGATGGCTGCCGTGTCTCCAACTGAAGGCGTTGTTCCTCGGCTCCCATCTGAATGGAGTTAAGAGGCTGGCTAGCAGGAGCGGATAGGAGAAGAGTCTCCTGGGGCAGTTGGCTCAGCAAGCGGGACCAGAGGATGGCTGCACCGTGGATTAGGGCCCCACAGTGGTCCATTGTTAATTGGGCGCCATGTGTGAAAGCTACAGAGAGATTAGTTTGTACAGCTGCTGCCATTTGTCATAACTGCCCTTAACAAGACACACATGGCAACGCAAGTTACAGCCAGAAGTTTTGCAGAAAAAAAGGGAGTAAAAAATGTCAGGCGAGCGTCTAACAGTTTGCAGAACAGGGCCCGCATAAGCAGATGAAGATGTTCCTGGGAAACACCGAGCAGACTCGGCGGGGATCCCATAAGAGATGATGAGCTTGAGCATTACTCATTTAGCCATCTGTAGGTCAACTAGAGTCATTATCATAACTGCTCAAAAGGACTATGCTAAACCAGCACAGATCCCAGACCACGGGTTGCAAACAATTCGGTGAAAATTATGAGGGAAGATCTGCGATTACATCACGGCCCTGTTGGGCAGAGCTCAAATTAGTCAGCGTCTGGGTTTTGTTCAACGAGCAAGAGTTGGATACAACACAGATAACAAGAGCCTGATGACCTCCTGTTAGCCAAATTTCCCTACTAATGTAGAATACAGCATTAGGTTTAGGAGACGGATGCTGGAGGAGAGGCTTTTTTTTTTAGGGGGCGAGCAGGAATGTGCAGTGTAATTGTGGGTTGGAGGTATGTGCACATGTTGGAGGCCTAATTACAATCTTGACTTGGTAAATCTGGAACAAGCTTTTAAAAAGGAATCCCACTTTCAGCTTTTTCTTTTTTATGCCTGACAGCTGCCGGAGTGGCGAGGAGTTGCTGCTCACCAAAACTAAACGCAGTCTTTTGTGGAGAAGTGCAGGTGAGTAACCACAAGACGGATTTGTTGCAGTTTCTACGTGCATAAGTGAGAACACAGGTCTCCATGTGTACATTTTTGGATTTGCATGTCAAATTTAGGGACGCTTCTCTGAAAGTCCCTGTGAGCTAAACAACCAGCTGGAGCTTTGTGCCAGCATAGAGAGCGGGACAATTCGAGAAGAACTCAAGCTGTTGGGATCCGGATCGTCACACAGACTTTTAGTGGACACCATGGTAACGAAGCCTCTTCTTCTTCAAGAAAAATAATGGACTTCATTAACTATCCTGTTAGTGCTCCTGCTGGCTTTAATCACGGGAGCACACACGGCACTGGACCAGCCCACTCCTAACACAAGTATTAGCACTTTGGGCTAACAATTTCATCACTACTACAACATCAAAATTCCCCTCATTTCATTTTGAAAAAGTTATAATTAATAGCTACATTTTGTGATTACAATTTGTAGTATGGTTTAAAATAGGAAGAGCTTATTTTCACTTCTGATTTAAGTTGCTGGGTTGTTGTGAATGCTGCATTTATGGCGGTGCAATTCTCCCATATTTATGCACATGCATCTACAGATAATATGAAGGAAATGTGCACTTTTCTGTTCTCCTTTTTAATCACTGAGTTTTTTTACTAATGCCTTGATGTAAAGAGAGAAGCAGAACTGCCTGTGACAGAGGAGAAAGTACCTCTGTGGAAAATGTGTAACATCTGCAGTTTGGTGATCCTGAGATATGGGATTTTCATGTCGTTACAAACAACGAGGAGTCCACATTTCCTCTCCTCCTGTCTACCCCGTGTATGGCTCACTTTAATCAAACACAGCCCTGCTGCTTCTTCGTGAAAACAAGTTGCTGTACATGCTAAAAATGTAAATGACTTCTTTTTCCCCTTTTTTGCTATATAACTTTTCTTACTGTAAGAGCCAGTAAAAATAATATATATGCACTCAGTGTTTATTGTTTATTGCGCTGCTGCTTAACAGTTGGTTTCTAAATTTGGGAGGTTTTTTTTTTTTGGGAAAAGTCAACCCAACATATGCGAGGGAGGAGTGCAGCTCCTTTTGCTTGCTTTGACAACTCAATGGGGTGCTGATGAATCCGTCCCAAGCAGGCCATTCCCAAGCCCCAGACACCATATCCCCTCTCTGACCCACTGCACTGACTTTAGAAAGAAATTCTCTGGGGATTCGCCCCCCACCCCAAACAACAACATGCCCACCCAAAAGTACATTTCGCACGGCGCTGTGATGGCGGGCCTCTCTTTTTCTGTTCCACTCAGGTCTTGTCGAGCCGTCACAGTGATGGGCCGTACTGTAACGCCAGACAAAGGAAGAGACAACCATCACTCTAGGCCACTGATCGGCCTTGTCTGGCCTGAAAAGACTTTGATGGGGCAAAGCAGAGTGGGGGGTGCTGCTCAGAGAAGTCAGTGTCTCCTGGGCAACCACTCCGATTGTCTGTCCCTGCCCAAAGTTCCCAATAACACCCCACCTACTACCCCTTCCTTTTTTTTTCTTCCCTTCATTGGTTGTTCACAAGCCTCCATCCTGGGTGAAGGGGACTGGCTTTTGCATAAAAGTCTCATTCTGATACTCGAGGGTGCTTTTCTCCTGACTGACTGGAAAAAATGCAAGGTCAAAGAACATCTTCACACAAATTCTCTAACTAAGACTTTTTGTCTTCCCTCTAAACCTTCTTATCCTTCTTTTCACTCCAGACTCTGCTGTCTTACATGACCAGTCTAGCAGGCAGATGGGACAACAGTAGGTTTTTCTAGCAGTTACGCTAGTACAACGGTGAAGAAGAGGGCGCAGCCACTGGATGGAGAAGCTCAGGCAGCAGGGAGGGCCCGCTTTGTAAGGCAGGACAGTGATAAGGTCTGGGATAAGGGTGAATGTACCCATTTGTCTTCATTTGGTAGGACTGGCAGACAGGATGGGGGGTGGGGAATCTATCCGGGTGAAGTGGGAGGTGCCGGTCCTCCAGTCAAGTGGCCTCGGGGGGATTTGAAATGCATTTGGGGTCCTCCCCAAAAAAGCCTGGGAAAGTGTGGGGAAGCTGAGATCTTAACCATAGACTAATGACACAAACTGCAGACCTTAACCAAGTGTAGCCACGAACGCAAAACTGAGTCTCCTGCTGAAATACACAAGAAAAGCCTTTTCAACACAATGCCTGAGCCTCACAATGCAGAAGAAAGGCCTCGTCCCGTTTTTTTGACAGATGCAACAGCGCAAACTGTGACACAAGCAAATTAAACACACTGTAGCGGAGCAAAGGAGGGAGTTGTAAATTTTGTTGAGAAAGAAAGCATCCACATTTCTCTGTGGCCTCTGCTCCGAGTTGCCTTGTTTCCATGGCGATTTATGTACACATGGCACACAAAAGAGGGCTAAGGAGGTAACACGGCCTGTTTAAGCCTTGAGGTATTTGCTCGAGCAAAGCCCCGCTGCTAATAACACAAGCTTCATACTGTGCCAGGCAACCTGGCTGCAATGCACCCAGGTTACTGTTTGAGAAAGAGCAGGAGAGGAAAGAAGGCAGAAGGAAGTCAGATGGAGATCACAAAACAACCAAAGATCTTGGAAAGGGGGTGAAGACATTAATACAGAAAGAAAATAAGCGAGAGAGCAAGAAAGCAAGTGAAAAAAAAAGAAAAGGAAAGAAAGAAAGAAAGAAAGGCTGCACTGCAAAACATAAATAGCTGCCGGGTTAAGAGAAAAAGGATCGGGAAGACATTTAGTGGGAAGCGGAAATCAATAAGGCAAGCGGTGAAGCTGGGAGGGAGTTCTAAGTGGATTAGATTGAGAGAATGTGTTCGATAGGTTATGGCTCTGAGAGAGAGGTAGCCAGACACCGCAGGCTCTATTGCATACTAATAAGGAAGCCAGCATGGAAGCTAAGCACAGGGTTGTGCAGTTCACTGTGAAGATTTTTTTCTATATATCTCTGGCATCAGTGGTTACGGTTTTTCCCAGGGTTTGGGGTTTAGCTTGTTCCTTAAAATTCATGTTCAAGATGAAACTCCATCTCGACTGCAATGAGAGCTATTCTCCAGACTTGTTCTAACATTATGGCACAAAATTTACAAGGAGTTGAGTAACTGTAGTTAAACTTGACAGCGGTGTCTTTAATGCGCTCCTCCTTACAACAAGTTTTGTTTCACGTTTCTGGCATAAACCCAGCCGCCATTTCTCTGGCCAAGCGCCTGGGCCTGGGACAGCTGTCATGGTCAGAGTCTCAGGCTTGAGGGAAAGCCAGGGACTGAGAAAAGAAAAGAGAACGGGAGAGAAAAGGAGTGAGAGTCACTTGGCCGGGCAGTGTGCCGCAGGGGTGATTCCTGATGGCAGAGGAGGATAAGGGGATACGAGGGGGGAGAGAGGCAGGGAGGGTTAGATGTTTTGCTTAGTCACAGACCTCCACTGTGACCCAGAAGGTCAGACCTCCGCACTGGCCGCCTGACCAAAGCCTCTGAGGCAGCCAGGCGGAAAACAAGATGCAAACAGCGATCCTGAGCAGTGTGGCGAGCAGGCAGTGGAGAGTCTTGAAGATACCGACCAGCCAGACTACCCAGTTTGAGGGATTGGTTCATTGGGTGGAGGGGTGTGTGCGGGAGACAATCACAAGGGCTTACTCCCCCTCACTTAGGCCAGTGAACCAAGGGACCACCGGCTATACCACAAGAAGTGGCAGAGGAGCGGAGACAAACAGTTGCCAAGAGACCACCGGTGATCCCATGACTGCTGTGGTTTGACCCCGATTGAAGAGTTCAACGACAGGGGCTTAAGAGAATCCGCCCTTCCCCAACAGCTCTGCTGACCACCTCCACCCCCACGGCAAAAAGTCTTCCTCCTCCACGTGCCCTGGGCCGGCACAGGCATGTTTTCACTGATCTGTTTTGCTCAATTAAACTTCAGAGGACACCCTGTCACATCTCTTTGTAAAGGTCGTGACCTTAGGGGCAGAGGTTAAGCCTGGCAATTGTAAAACAAGGTTTTGATTAACATGGCGGCTTGTATCCGGAGGTAATCCATCCATTTCTACAAACTATCATGGAAAAAAAAACATCACAGGGGGTGTGGGGGTGGGAGTAAAGGTAATGATGTTTTATGGCCACGTTAACTTTCAGCACACGACTAATGGGAAGGCTGCTTGACCTTGACTTCTTTCATCCCGATTTGGACTACCTCAGCAATCCTCGACTCTCACGGTTTCTAAGGAAATCCACTGCCAACTTTCTAAATGCTCGGAAATCTTTTTAGGAATTAGTCACTGAAGATCATGTAAGATCTTAATAATCTTAATAAAAAAAAGCCTTTTTACAATGTTATTCTCTAATTTCTCCTTTTTTCCATACATGGCCAGAAAGAACAAGTGAACACAATAAGTATATCTCTGCAGTTGCGTGAACAAACAGGGATGAGCAGCCTAACAAAAACCACATACAAACGAGGCCTAGAGACTCCCAGCATGTCCCGACACGATGATTATCTACATGCCCCGTTGCAACTATTCCATCACGCTGTCAAACTGGATATGCAAAATATGAATCTAGGAGGTGAGAGTTGATGATTTAAAAAAACCAACAAAAACAAATAAGAATTCCCCTTCTTGTTTTATTGGAAAATGATAAAATGGTGCAGTGGATTACCACGGCAGTATGTGTGTGTGAGTGTGAGAAGCCCGGGCCCTGCATTGAACGCGGCCTGCCAGTTGGCACAATGGATGCCACAACCCCCACTCCCAGCCCCCAGCCTACTTCCCAGCGGGCATTCATCTGGGCATGCACATGGGTGCTACAGCTCTGCCTGGCTAAACGCGTCTGTGCCCCAGAACAAGGGAGCTGAGTGCCCTCTCAAAATTCACCCGGTACACTCGCTGCCAACCCGCCGACCTTTCTCAGGCAGCAGCCCACCAGAGTCAAAAACAAACACTCTATGAACCCCATTTTTTTTCTCACGAAAAGTAACAACAAAATAAAGATTTTCCAGAATAAATAACAGCAGCGAAATAACGGATTAGAAAACACGGCAGAAGCAGAACTACATTAAAAATCACAGTCCGAACTCGCTCTTTCCCCCCCCCCCCACAAAGTTCGCACAATAACCAGATTCTGTTGCAGCCCGAGCCGTTTGCTACTTTCTTTGTGTTTGATTGTATGTTTGTTTGTTTCGTGCAGTTGCAGCAGAACAAAGGCAGCGGCTTCCATTCTGCCACTGTCAAAAAACTTTCCCAACGTGCCCACTGCATTGCGGATGCCAACCAACGAATCAAAGGCACGCTGCAAGCAGACAAAGAGAGTTTGATGCCAACCTCCAAACCTCTAACAACCATTACTGGTGATTTTGCCTGCCTCCCTGGCACCGTGTAAAACAAAATGGCGCCGTACCGCACGCTACCACAACATGGCTGCATTGTCTGGGTTTGTGGACCGCTCGGTAACTTAAAGAAAAGAAGGCGACGCTTTAGTTTGCAAAAACTGGAGAAGGAAAAGAAAAAGATGGCCATCTGAGTGATCCCCGCTATTCGGCGTTTGCCAAGCATTTCACTCAATGGGAATTTTGAGGATGGCGGCAAATGATCGTTCCCATATAGAAAAACATGACATTATTTTAACCTTTTATTATAAACTGAAACGAATCTTCAATATGATCGTCCTCTCTACTCAGATACAGTTTACTAAAACAGCGGCTGTTTTATAAAGTCAGTTTTGTGAAAAAACAGCACTAAATGCCGTTTCTCGAGTTGGTACTGAGCAGTTCAAAATGCAGCAGATGTAAACCAGGGAAGCGGTGGCATCCTACAAAAGACACAAAAGAGGGTCTGATGCCAACCCCGGTGCCAATGGCAACCATTATTGTCTCTGTGCTGTGCCTTCTGCTTTCCCTGGCACTTATCAAACACAAAATGGCGCTCAGGGTTTGATGATAATGAGCTAGCTATACCACTACCCTCCAATGGGAGCACAGTGTAGTGGCGGCTATTCGGTGTGGTTGCAGTAGATTTAAGGGCAGCACATGAGAGGTTTAAAAGTGTGGGATGTATATGACTGAAATGTGTTTACTCGCAGTCAGAGGAGACCTGAATTTCATTTTCAAAGGCTTTTTAAAGGTGTTATCTGATTCGAGATCCGAGTAAGAAAAAACACAACATCATTCACAGTATCCTGTGAAAAGTGTTTTCTGTAGAACTCATTGAACCTGGAAGAGATCACATCTGAATGCGGCGTTGCTCTGATCATGCTCTGAGTGAAAATCTCCCAGTTTACAGTCTGCATGACTGACTATGTAAACCAGTTTCTGGTGATGTACACTAGAAACACCGTTTCTATTCTGGACTTTCAGAAATGCCTTTATTTTATTTTTGCGGCCGTGTTTACTATTTTTTATTAAAGGAAAAAAAAGAAAGAAATCCTAGCAAATTAATTCTGGAAAGAAAAAGAAATAAATTAAAACATCAATTTAAAATATATGCATGACAAAACTATAACTACTACCCTCTTATAAAGTACACTTCCTAAACTGTGCAAAATGTGTCCTCTAAACCTTTCATGTAAAAGAATCCAGTTTTTTTAGGGATCGGGAAAAAACATAAAATCACATGACACACAAAGAAGAAAACAGAAAAAACAGAAACTTTAAATTTTATAACAACTGAAAGTGTTTTTATGTCTGTAATGTGACTTACTATTAGAAATCTCTTCATTGATCACACATATTACCATTTTAATTGGTGGAAAATCAACAGTGTTTGCAGACAAACCAGTTTGAAATTTTTATCGTGGAATGAAAACTAAAAAGGGACAAATGCCATGATTATTTTTAAAATATTGAGATTAAGAAGTGAAAGATTTTTTTTTAAATCTTAGGTTACATTAAATGTTATTTATTTATTTATAAATGAATTAATAAAATATAACACTGCTCCATATATTCAGCATTTGGACATTTAAGACTGAAACTTTCCACAAATGCCACCACTTGATTTCCAAACAAATGGATCAGTTATGCAGTGTGTGTGCAGTTGTGCAATCCTGTGTGTGTGTGTGTGTGTGTGTGGTTGTGTGTGTACAAGGTAACTGAATAATTACAGGAGAATTACAGGGATATAAGCTGCTGCTGGATTTCAGCAAAGCAAACACAGTTAACACATGGTCTTATCTAATTTTGATGACATTGTTTTTGTAATGAGGCTTGCTTAGAAAAATAAAAATGTTTGTGGTATAAATGTATGCACAGTACTGACCGTCACAGTCGTACATTTGCTCCTCTGGCAGATTTAGAATTGCCAGAAAATAACTCGTGCGACTCTTGACCTTGCTAAATCATCACTCACACTCTCTCACACACACACACACACACACACACACGCACAACATTAACTGTCTCTCTCTCACACACACAGAGAATCAGTATGAACTTGAAACCTACCTTGGTCCTGGACATAGTATGCTAGAAACAAGTCCAGCTCCTTGACTGATACTGTTATGTGGTGTGGCTGGACACAAAGTGCTGGGTTGGTGCAATGTGGAGACTTGACGAGGCGCTCGCCATCTGTACTTTCCAGAGGGATGCCTTTGAAGAGGATGACCATCACCAGGTCCAGACGCCATACTTTGTCGGCCTGCCGCAAACAGTCGATTCGTCGTATCTTGCCCTTTTGGTCCGGGTTGGATAGCACGCAGCAAGGGGGCTTCTTGCCCGTCACGCTGAGGACAAAGTCCTCCCGGTACTCCTGCCGAATGTCCTTACGCAGCTTGGCTAGCAGCCTGGATGCCCATTTCTGCTTAACCTCGGGCTTCTCGCTCAGAAGCTCATCCTTCACCGCGCGCTCCTCGTCCTTGGACATCCGCTTCTCGTGCTTCTTGAAGTACTTGCGTTTTCTGGCCTGGAGGTTGAACCACGTGTAGGCGATGGCGCGGACGTGAGGAAGAAGTGCCTCGATGAAGGGATGAAACTCATCCTGGAGCATCCGAGGGGCACAGTGTGGAGAAAGAGACAGAAAGAGAAGGAGAGAAACGGAATCAGAAACTCATGTCATCAAACATGAAGAAATATGTGTTTACCCAGCTACTAATTTAAAGCAGAAGGGAAGTCAGACCACAATTTTAAAATCCCTCATAATCAGTCACATAATGTCACTGGCAGTTTCTTCAAGCTAAGAATGATCTCTTTATATTAGGAACTCTAGCTTTACCATCCTAGATATGCTGCAGGTGTGACAAGTAAATTCCACCGTTTATATCAACTCGAAGCCCGGTGACTGAATGCACTTGCAGCTCTGCTCGCATTTCACGAGCATGCTCTGAGTGGGACTCCTGTAACACTGCTGCTGCTGCTGCTGCAGGGAGCATGCGCCCCACACAGTTGCATTTCTCTTATCAAACTATCCACATACCATAATCTGGAAGTGGGATGCAACCATTAAAAAAATAAAAAATAAAAAAAAGGAAGGCAGAGAGATACTCATTCTTCAGACACGATGCACGCGGCCTCATGTATACATGCTAGCTTAATGTACAAAACTGAATAAAACACAGGCAGGCGAGAGAGGCGGCACATCAAATGAAGCAATAGTGTGAAAGGTATTTGCAAAGGTTGATCGAGTACTCAAAGGATTTCATGCCAAATCGTTTCAAGCATTGAGGTTAACACATGGATTGGCACCTGCCCAGCTTCATTCCTAAAAGTTGAGGTTAGGCAGCCCGGCCTACTGTTAAAATGTTTCATCTCACTTTTATTTAGCTATTCATTTTTGTTTAACTCATTTCGTATTACAGTCATATTACACTACTTTGTGTTGCATTACAAAATTGTTACCTTTGAATAAAACACATCATTATGGATTTTTTTGCCACTCAATTTTTCCCCCCTTCAAAAATACAAAACAAAACAGACACTAATTCCTACAACAACTCAGCAACTAAATGGCTAATATTAATACTGCTTCACTGATTCAACAATAAATTATATTTGTTTCATTTCTTAATTCTTGTTCTCTGGGAATCTCTAGGAATCAGCAGAAAGGACTGCAGCTGAGGGGTGGAAACATTAAATTATTTTTGTTTGAGGTCATTAAAATGCCAGATTTAATAACTATACACAGGCGTTTTTAGGGTGGGAAGACTTTTGACGAGTTATTGTTCTTTTTGTAGGCAGTCAGGCAACAAGCCGGCTATAGCAAACCACAGAAATCCCCTCTCTATCTGTGGCTGCTGCTGGTGCTCCTCTAAAAAGCCACATTTCTGGTCTCAGGCTCCATCGCTGATAAAACTCTGCTCCAGTACACTAATGTCAAATTATGATCATTTATTACACTGAAAGAGGTAACTCTGTGTATGTTGCAGATTCCATTAACAGCTTGTAAATGTATTATATTCACTGTGAATAGTATAGCTCCTCATTGTCTTTCAGAGAGGTTAAAAATCCATTCAAAACTTCTTTTAATGTCATCTCCTCACTATAAAGCTGCCAATTAAAATGACAAAAGCAAGTGTAAATGCTAGTAAATGTGTTCGCTCGCAACTGTTTCTCAAATCCTTTTTTCACTCCTGCTCAAAATCACTTTAAATATTCTGTTAATTTTTTTTTCTAGCCAGGTTAAAGCCAAATGCTGTAAAGATAAATGACTTGGCCAGGGCCTGTGCAGTGCACTTCAGCTGGGGCCATAAAAGCACAATCCTCTTAAGTACAAGCTAAACCACATCTCAGTCAATCACTTACTTATGCCAAGTAAAATATAAACAGTAAAACTGAGTCAGCCAAAACAGTCAGCTACTCTGTCCAACCGCTGAATCAACTTTATCACGCGTTTGATCTTTCTACAGTGCAAGTGGCTTTATCTTCTTCCAACTTCACTTCCCTAAAGTATGGGGGCTTTATTCTAAATAAAAAATATACGCCTGGAAAATATATATACATAAATATATAAATATATATGTATAGCCACAGCTCAAGCAGGGCCGGGAGGTGCGCGCCTGTGTGTGTGTGAGAGAGACAGAGAGAGAGAGACAGAGAGAGGTTATTGGAGGACGCAAATAAGCTAATTAAACCAGAGAAAAATACCTGCACCACTTACACAGGATTAGCAAGAATCGAGTCTTTTGGTTCTATCTTAAAACTCATCTTTACGCAAAAGTTTGTAAAGAGCGAAGAACGTGTGAAGATTTGCACTTCAAGCGCCAACAGGACACAGCCGATCTTTCGTTAGGACTTTCGTAGAAAAGACATTTTAAAATATATGTGTCACGACTTTATCACAAAAACATATAATCTCAGTCGAGAAGTTTTTGCCTCGCTTTAATTCCATATCTTTTATTTATTTATTTTACTTACAAGGGAAAGTCTGTATTATTTATAAGAATTATGAAAGTAATTCACAGCGCAGACACTCAACTTTCTATTCCCGGGCTAAAAAACAAAACAAAAACAAAAACAAACAAAAAAAAACCGTGTGACAATTTTTATACAAATTAAAAATCACAGCGATAAGATGCATAACTTAAAAAAAAAGACACAATTACCTGAGTTAGACAAATCGGGGAATACATGACGAGACGGCTACACAGAAAGTGACTGTACTTGGAGCGATTCCTCAGATCACTTTATCGCGCCATTCCTGGATCCGCTGTGCGCTATGCGAGACTCTGTGGATCCGCGTAAAAACCAAAAGTAATTATCCAATAACATCCATGAATTTCTGCAAATCCAGAGATTGTCTTCACCGCAGAGAAAGACAGATTTTCTGCAGGCGATTTTTTATTCTCTGTTTTTAAGTTGACATGCACGGACTGTACTCGTAGAGCCGGTGTGCGAAACGAGGCTGCCGCTGCTGTACTCCTGAACTGCACGGGGCTCTGCGCGCGTCTCTGTGCGGCGTTATCTCATAAAAGCATTACGGGGAGCTTCAGAGGGCGCCGAGTGTGGGATGTTCACCCCTGCTTTAACCAAACTTGATATGAAATCGACCGGTGCGCCCTCGGTCCTGCGCGATTCCAGCAAATCAGACCCAACTTTTTTCACCCACGTAATTGCACAGTCACACTCCTCCCCCTCCTCCCCCTTCCAAACACACACCATATCCAACCCCTCCAAGCACCTTCTTCTCCTTCTCGGCTTTATATGAACACACCGCATAAAATTCATTCCCCCCCCCCCCCCCACACACACACACACACACACACACATACACATAAACGCACACCTCCCTCCTTCCTTCCTTCTGCAGAATTACTTTATGACCTTCTGGGACTTTGGACCGCAGCCTCGGTCACATACACGAACGTAAACAAACGGGGGAAAAAACGTCCCGCTGCCACCCTTTTTTAACCACCGAGCTCCGTGTCAACAAGACACACGCACTCTACGTTTCCAGTTCAGATAATTCAACGCAGTGTTGGTGGCTCACAGTGATAACAAACCTTTTAGCTTGTCAGTTACACACCAAGCAGCAGTACTTTATTAGCCTGTTAACGTCTGCTGGAGAACTTCTTAAAATATGATTTCTTTAGGGGGGACAGAAATAAAGGGAGGTACATTTTATTAAACTTTTTTTTAAAAAAAAAACCTATTTCCAACACAATTAGCCTGCATTGTTCTAGAAACAATAGGTAAAAGGGACACCTAGCTTAAACTTTAGCACCCGTTAAAATGAGTTTATAGGTATTAAATGTTTTAATTTATTAAATTATGTTGTGCTCTCAGAAACCCTCTCCTCAAAATAAAACTCCCTGACTTAAAAGCGTTGATAACGCCGTTAGGAAGTGCTCATTTAGGGCGAAGCTTGGTGGGTAGGTGTACAGTAACATTATAGTAGTAGAGCTAAAAGGAGTCAAAGTTAAACATTGTTACGGTGCCGCTACAGTGCGCGCGCACGTGTGTGCCCTACAGAGCTGTTAACAGTCTACACGGAGCTCATTTGCCAGATTAAGGGGGACTGGGATGTTAACATAGGCTGCGGGACAGTCTGTGCCAAGTTTACAACAATTTTGGCCCGACCGTGCCTGTGTTGTGGTCCCTGCAAAGTCAACCCACCTCTCCACATTTCTCCTCTCCCCCCCAACAGCCGCGAGGACGGGACAGTATATATTTTTTAAAGAAAGGTACACAAGGATTGCTACACAACATTTGAAAGTAGTAATGATCCACGTTCACGTACCATTGCACTGTACTGCATGGATTAATGGGGAATCCTGGAGCCTGGTTGAAACACACAAGCCGGTAGCTTCACATTTCTCACGCTCAACTTTGTGCTTTGAAGGGTTTTCTCTCTTGTAGTGCTCGCAAGAAAAAAAGTCAACACCGGAAGACAATTCTTGGCAGATATCGGTGAGAAGAAGTTAGGAGCACCTCGCGTTTTTTTCTCTTTTTTTCTTGTCTTCCTTCCTCTTAAAGTCTTACTTTTTTGGATCGTTTTTTAGGGTTGTCCAGTGAACTTGAACGTGATCCAGAAGAGGCTGAGTTTTCGGCACTGGGTTGGTCTCCGCCTTCACTTTCACTGCCTGGCTGGCTGCCGCCCCTCCGGCTCTCAGCACTAACCGTCAAACCGCACGTAGGCTAAACAGTGCCATTTCCGATACGACCTTTCAAAATAAAACAATTTACGCTTAAAACTATTAATTGAACAAAAATTGACATAAAATATTTACCCAAAGTAGCATTGTAATAATATATAAAATACCTTGAGACCTATTATTAATTTCTTCTATGTTTGCGTATTTTAGGGGGCCGCTATTGCTCTTCACGAAATCAAGAATTTATCAAAAATATAAGGTCTTCCTGAAAAAAAAGTACTTCAAATAGGTGGCAGCATATTTTTTAAAGCATTGTCCTACTGTGAATTATATCACAGGTTTTCTTAATATTTTTGTATGAAATATCAAATTCAGATCAACTCCGGCTCGTATGCTGGCGTGATACATCTTATTTTGAAATTGAAACATTACAATTTCCGGTACGAGCAACCCGTTTGTCTGCAGCTTGTCAGAGCGCAGTTTTGTAATAGCCTTTACATTCTTGCCTCTCATTGGCCAGCAGCCGTGGCCCCGGGACTCTGTACCCTGGGCCCCTCACTTCCGCTCCTCTGACGTGCATGTTTGGGGTTGACAGAGCGGCTGCTGGACGGCAGGGCTGAATAGCGATAGTTACTGAGTGATGATGAAAGCAGTGCATCGCAGCAGTTATTGCCCTAAATGCAGTCTCCTGTGGTAATGAAAATTAGATTCATATTTTCAATATTTGCAGTTAGAGGAGGTGGCAGTAGTGCTATTATCAGTGTAAAATGACAGTAAACTATAGTTGGAAAACGTTTTCACATATTAAGATGTGCCCACGAGGGCTGGCCGAATAGTGGAGGAGGCACACATGGAGGAAGCAATAGTCATTACAAGGTGTGTGGGTTATTAGTGCTCATCGGACAAAGGGAGACAGATCAGGCTTGTTTCGAGTGACCTTGAAAAACGAACAACCTCTAGAAAATAAAGCTCTTCCTACAAGATCAAATCGTGTTCATGAGACATGTAGTTAATATTCATTAAGAAAATATATGAACACATTTTAATTATTAATATTATCCAATTGTTCCCACAGAGAAACACTAACAGCACATGTTGTTCGGTGTGTTTAAAAGACTGCACATCTTCCCTATATCGAAAGACTAAATTCGTGAATAATCATTCAGTGGATGCCCATTACTGTACACAGAGCATCCAATCCACAACAATAGCAGAAAATGTGATCGTGAATTGAATGGAAAGTCTCACAATAGATTTTTAGTGCCTCTGTCATCACTGCTGTGGTGACATTAACACACTGCTTATAACATCCAAAAATGTCACCGCAGTCACGTGTATCCAGCGCTTGTTTGTATTGTTAAGACTAAGAGGACTCAGCTGTAGTAAAAGTGACTGATCGATAACCATTTGAAAGATAAATCAGGTCTGATAATGTTAGTGTGTCAGTTCGCATTGTGCTATTTTCTCCTTGGAGGTTGAATAGATTTAGTCCCTCTGACTATTAGCCTTTGGATTTAAAAGCCCTCCTTCAGATCATTATTGAACGGAAATTTTAAATAAAAGTAAATAAATAATTTGTGACACGTTCAGTTCACATTTCTTAGAATGTTTTAGTCTTTGTTCATTTTACTTCTTATTTGCTGTTAATGTTACCATAAAAGGCTGAATCATTATCTCATAATGACTCCATTCTCTCTCTGCCTCCATTAATCCGACCCTGTATCGTGCGATCCACCGGCGCACATGGCAGGAGCCCTCACAGATTCAGCACTCTCAACATGGAGCTACCGCCCCCATGTGGCCGCAAGCAAAACTGCAAGCTGGGGGAATAAATTCTGTGGTCGTTATAGTGTGGCACAACCAACACCAAGTGGGTTGTCACAAGCATGCACAGCACCCACAAGTATTTTCTTTGACTTACTAAAAGTCTGAATTTCTCATCGAAAATACAAATTTACTGTCGCTCTGCTCTGACTTGTCACAGTAGAAAAAGTGCAGATGTAACCATTAATTATTAACAGCGGTTCTATGAACATGTCAGTCGTTTGCAATCCAGCCATCTTTCATTTTATTACTCATAGAACATAGACCTTTGAAAAACAAACTCTAAACATGCTTTTTTAGTACAACAGTGTTATCATGGACCTACCATTGGGTCTACCATTACGCTCCAGCAGTGACCTTTTGGTTTTAAACTCTAGCAGGTTCCACAGTTAAGGAAACAAGAACACAAAACACAATTTTTGAAATGTACATAATCTGATTTGAGTTGTTTTAATTAAGCTGCAGTGTGAATAAAGGGCTATAATCAGGGGAATGTGTGGTTGTACTTAATTACTTTACTTTATATGGAATTTTATCCCTTTTCCCTACATACTGAGACGATGCACCACATTTTTACTGGCTTTAGCTTACAAAGCTCAACATGTAAGTCTCTCAAGACTTGTGGCTAAAAAAAGAAATTTAACAAAAAAGGAGAAAGATGGCACATTTTAAAGCTAAGATAAGATGACCTTTATTAGACCCAGAGTTGTGAAATTCACGTCATATTACTCAACACTAAATCACTGACATAAAGCAGCAGAGACACGACGTTTCAAACCAGGAACAGATCCTATGTGGTATACTGTACATGACAGACAGAAAGTTTTTGCATTGTAACTCTTTATATGACCTTTTTTTACCCCTTCCAAAAACATTTGGTGTCAGTAAGAGGTTGTTTGGGTGAAAAGATCGTTCAAAGTAGAAACATAATTGATAAAAGTTTGAAAAATATATCCCTATATATAATATAGGGCGCTGCTACTGCTATTGCTGCTTCTGTGTATTTAATTGTGCATTTCTCCTGCAAAAAACAAACAAACAAACAAAACCCCCCAAAAAGCAAGAAAAACAATACAGATTTTGTGCTTAAATGGGTTGGATCTGCAACTTCCTACCAATTGCACAATTTCCTACT